TAAATATATATATATACATATACATATATATACATATATATATATATATATATATATATATATCTTTATTGTTTTCAGAGAGGGAGAGGGAGAGATGGAAACATCAGTGATGAGTCATTGGTTGCCTCCTGCACGCCCCCGACTGGGGATCGAGCCCTCAACCTGGGCATGTGCCCTGACCGGGGATTGAACCATGATCTCCTGGATCCTAAGTCGATGCTCAACCGCTGAGCCACACCGGCCAGGCCTCTAACTCCTTTTGAAACATATTCTCCTATCGGCTCATGTACCACCACACACCTGAATTCATGCTGTTAACCCCTAAATGACTCTAAATAAACACATTGTAAGGCAAGTCACCCTGAATGTTCCTTCTCCATCCTAATCTTAGAATCCATTCGTACATTCTGCTTTCTTGTCATCGCTCGGGTATCTAAGGGGCATTTCAACCTGGACGTGGCCCAGACAAAACCCTTGACTCACCCCAGTCCATGAACTTGCACCTCCCTCCTCCTCAGCCATCAGCACCAGCCCCTGGCTAGTCCTAAAGCAGCAACATCCTGAATGCTTCTGTGTCACCCCCGGTGGTTCCATAACCATTTGTAGAAAAACTGGGAGAATTACTCCCATTTTACAGATGAGACTGAAGCTTAGGGATATCAAGTAAATTACAGGATTTGAATCCAGTCTGAGTCTAGTCCATGCTTTTAAAAAATTGTTTAACGGTTTCAGGTGTACAGCTTAGTGGTTAGACAATCACATACTTTACAGTGTTCTTGATATGTCCAGTACCCCAGTAGGCGCCACACAGAGTTATCACAATCTCATTGACCATATTTCCTATGCTCCCCCGTGACTGTTCTGTAGCTACCAACTCATGCCCCTTAGTCCCTTCACCTGTCACCCAGTGCCCAACCCTCCTCCTCTCTGGCCACCACTAGTTCTCTCTCTGTATCTCTGAGTCTGTTTCAATTTTGTTCATTTATTTTGTTCAGTAGATTCCACATATAAGTGAGATCATGTGGTATCTGTCTTTCTCTGACTGGCTTATTTCACTGAGCATAATATCCACACTGTTACAATGGTAAGATTCTGTTCTTCTTTATGGCCGAGTAGTACTCCATTGGGTACACGTCCTGTCTTCTTTATCCACTCGTCTACTGATGGGCACCTGGGCTGCTTCCCTGGCTTGGCTATTGTAAATAACGCTGCAATGAGCATAGGGGTGCTCACTCTTTCAAATTAGTGTCTTGGGTTTCTCCGGATAAACATCCATCTTTAATTTTTTGAGGAAACTCCATACTGTTTTCTACGCACACTTGAAAAAGAATGTATATTCTGCTGCTTTGGGATGAAATACTCTGAAGATAGCAATTAAATCCATCTGGTCTAGTGTATCATTTAAGGCTAATGTTTCCTTGTTGATTTTCTGTCTGGAAGATTTATTCATTGATGTCATTGATGCCAATGGCGTGTTAATATCCCCTACTATGACTGCATTAATGTTGATCTCTCCCTTTATGTCCATCAAGATTTGTTTTATGTATTTAGGTGCTCCTAGGTTGGGTGCATAAATGTTTACAGGGTTATAATCTCTTGTTGAATTGATCCCTTATCATTATGTGGCTTCCTTTATCTTTTATTATAGTTTTTGTTTTAAAGTGTACTTTGATGTAAGTACCATTACCCCAGCTTTTTTTGTTCCAATGTGCATGGTATACCTTTTCCATCCCATTACTTCTAGTGTGTACCTTTCATTTTGAGGTGCGTCTCTTGTAGACAGCATATATTTGGGTCTTATTTTCTTATCCATTCAGCTACCCTGTGTCTTTTGATTAGAGCATTTAATCAATTTATATTTAAGGTGGGTATCAATAGGTATGTATTCTTTATGGCTATGTTCCTCTATGCCCCCCCCCCCTCCTCTTAAATAGAGCCCTTTAATATTTCTTATAATACTGGTTTGGTGGAATGAACTCCTTCAGCTTTTTCTTGTCTTAGAAGCTCTTTATTTCACCTTCAATTTTGGATGATTGCCTTGTTAGGTAGAGTAGTCTTGGTTGTAGATCCTTGCTTTACATCACTTTGAATATTTCATGCCAATCCCTTTGGCCTGAAATGTTTCTGTTGAGAAATCAGCTGACAGTCTTATGGGAGCTCCCTTGTAGTTGACTATCTGTTTTTCTGTTGCTGGTTTTAAGATGCTCTCTTTGTCTTTAACCTTTGCCATTTTAATTATGATGTGTCTTGTTGTGGGCCTCTTTGGGTTCATTTTGTTTGGGACCCTCTGCACTTCCTGGTCCTGTGTGTCTTTTTCCTTCACCAGTTTAGGGAACTTTTCAGCCATAATTTCTTCAAATAGGTTCTCTATTCCTTGGTCTCTTTCTTCTGCTCCTGGTACCCCCTATGATACAGATGTTGTTATGCTTCATATAGTCCCAGGGGTCCTTTAGACTATCTCCGTTTTTTTAAATACTTTTTTCTTGTCCTAGCCAATTTGGCTCAGTGGTTGGAGCATCAACCGAAGGACTGAAGGGGCCCAAGTTTGATTCTGGCCATGGGCACATACTTTGGTTGCGGGCTTAATCCCCAGGCCCCATTGGGGTGCATGCAAGAGGCAACCAATTGATGTGTCTCTCACACTGATGTTTCTCTCTCTCCCTTCAACTCTCTCTGAAAAGGAATGGAAAAAAAATATCCTCAGGTGAGGATTAAAAAAAAAAAAAGGTAAAATTCTTTTTTCTTCTGTTGCCCTGACTGGGTATTTTCTGCTACCTTGTCTCCCTCATCACTGATTCAGTCCTCTGGTTCCTCTAGCCTGCTGTTGATCCCTTCTGGTGTGTTCTTCATTTCTGACTGATTCCTCTTTATGGTTTCTATGTCATTTTCCATGCGGCTGAAGTTCTCGCTAAGTTTCCTGAGCATCCTTATGACCATTGTTTTGAACTGTGTTTCTGGTAGCTTGCTTACCTCCATTTCATTTAGTCCATTTTATGATTATTTCACCTGTTCTTTCATTTGGGGGGTGTATTTTTTGTCTCCCCATTTTGGCTGTCTTGCTGTATTTGTCTCTGTGTATTAGGTGGCTCTGCTATGATGGCCTGTGTTATAGGTATCTTGTGGGGCTCAGAGGTGATCCTCTCTAATAGCCTG